GGGGAGGTGGGGGGTGTATACGCACCGCACGTGGTTGACGAGGTGCTCCTTGCGCGTGAACCGCTTGTTGCAGTAGGAGCAGGGATGCGGCATGTCGCCGGTGTGCTGGCGCACGTGGTTCGTGAGGTGCTCCTTGCGCGCGAACGACCGCGTGCAGTACGTGCACTTGTGAGGAGTTTCGCCCGTATGCTGTCTGCGCAACAGAGTACATTCCGATTTGATTTTATTTTCATACGAATTTACTTCATTTATAACTATTGAGTTCTAATTTCTTATTATACATTATTAATACTTTATGGTGCCAACTCATGTTTATGTATGACTTTAAATCAAAAAGTTTAATTTGGCAAAACGGAGCACACCAATTTGAACTGTTACACGAGAAATGTTTGACGAATTTGTTAAAAGAGTTTATGCAAGTGTTTAAGTATTGTCCGATATGATTTATTACATTTTCTTTCTGGATCATCCTCATCGCTTACCAAAATATTACAGAAAAAGAATCCTAATAGATGCACAATACTTTTATGAATTAATCATTAAAAACCAGCTTCTGATCCACTGTTGATATTTGGCAAGCTCATCTATTAGCATATTAATCTGCTGTAAGCGACAGGATGGGTCGGCAAGGTGTCACTCCGCACGGAGCTCAAATCGGAATGCACAATGCTGTGCTACCGCAGTTGCATTCAGGGAAACTTCACACAATGCCGTTCAAGACTTAAAGTTAATGACTCACGACTTTTGATTACATGAACTTCATCGGCAGGAACAGGGATTCTCTATATAACGATAAGTCATGCAAAGTACATGCAAACTACTATGGAAACATGCCCAGTAAGTACAGATAGTAGGGAATGTTTTATTTAGCCTTGAGCGTGTAGCACAGCATTGTCGACTTATAATGCAATACAGAGTATGATGGCTACACAGAATTACATTAAAACACATCAATAGCATGGCAACTATTTTATTACAACTTGTAGACAATGGCATGATTTTATATCAAAATAATGCAATAGTTTAGAAATTTACAAGTAATTTGTTTCCTAGTAAAAAAATCTCGCGTTTATGTCTACAAGTTGTACTAAATTGAATTGCTAATCTAAATACACAGTACCAACACAGAAGCTATCGTATAGCACATCAAGTGCATCGATGTCATAATTGCCATATAATTACAAGGTAGTAAATTTAAGTGATTTCTTTTTTTCATAAACAAAATTAATAGAATCCCAATTTTTCCATTAAATATTAAAGAAGTCATGGAAAAAAAAAAACTTTTTATTCTGTTAGAAAAGGCATAGATATGAATACAAAAAGATAAAAGCCTATATAAATCGAAATAAAAGATCTAAAACAACGCCCTGAACATTGACAGAGGTTAAAAAATAAAACAGAAGGCTTTGTCATATGATTATGAAAGAAAAAGAACTATACTGAATTCATATAGGTGTGAAAAGTACAGATAGATCAACATTCCCGTATTGACTATTATGACATCGACACACGTGACGTTCGCGTGGTTACCTGGTGTGGTTGGCGAGGTGCTCCTTGCGCGTGAAGGACTTGGCGCAGTAGGTGCAACGGTGCGGCGACTCGCCCGTGTGTTGCCGCACGTGGTTGGTGAGATGCTCCTTGCGAGTGAACGTCTTCGTGCAGTAGGAGCACTTGTGCGGGGACTCCCCGGTGTGCTGACGCACGTGGTTCACTGCAATAGTACACATTTTTATTGCTAAGTTCTTTTTAGTTGTGTTGATATATGGATACGCCGCATTTCGTATTTTTCTTAAGTGGTAATTCAAAGTGAACAAAGAAGTATTACCCATAAAAATAAAAAGCTCTAACACTAAATAATCACTGCCTAATTTTGTCATCCTATAAAATATTGTTCTTTAAATTTAATCAAATTTCTTCAAATATTTTTTTTACAAACTCTCTATTATTTACATTGCAGTTACACATTTAGTTCGTCAGACCCGTGTGTGAATGTAAAGTGGATTTTTGAACTGTTAACATTTATTACATTTATAATTTTATAGGGAAATGTTTCTACAATAATCATTATGCAGTTGAAGCTATGAGGTATCGTTGGTGTGATAATTGTATTGCTTTCTTACCTAAATGATCTTTCCTGGTGAACGCCTTAGGGCAGTACCCGCACTGGAATGGCGTCTCGCCAGTGTGCTGTCGCACGTGGTTGACGAGGTGTTCGCGGCGTGTGAAGGACTTGGCGCAGAAACTGCAGCGGTGCGGCGACTCGCCCGTGTGTTGCCTCACGTGGTTCAACAGGTGCTCCTTGCGGGTGAACGTTTTCGAACAGAAGTCGCAACGATGCGGTGTTTCCCCTGCAAATTCACAATTATTTTTAAAAAATCTCTTATTTTCTATATTGAACATTTTACAGTTTTAATTCACAGTTAGGCAGTAGCTTTCAATAAGAGGACTGGCATATTGTGAACACTAACTGACGTCAGTGAATCCATACAATTGAAGCCTAGTCTGCGCCACTGTACAACTGTACTAAGTGTGAACTGTGCACAACTTTTCACCGATGAAAGGTCTGTACATATTGTCATCTGTTTTTTGTAAAGAAAGAGGACAATTTTTACAAGTGTTTTATCAATAATTACCTGATCATATTACACATTGTGTTAGTAAATTAAAACCAAATGATTCAAATAAACATAATGCGGATAACCAAGCTTGACACCAAAGTATACAGCGAAATGTATTTAGACATTTAAAAATGTGTTTTTTACATATTTATATTAAAAAACCAAGCAAAAACTATTTCGCCTAACAAAATTGTCTTACTCATTTGTCTATAGCAGTTGTAAGACAATTAAGATAGTGAGTGTACAACAAAGCGATACTAACCAGTATGCCAGAGAATGTGATTGGTGTAGTGTTCCTTTCTGGTGAAGGACTTGCCACACAACTCACATCGGAACGGTGTGTCGTTCGTGTGAGATCGCATATGGTTCACTAAATGCTCCTTCCTAGTATACTTCTTCAAACATATGTGACAATGATGCGGCGTTTCACCTATGTGAGTGGGGCAGAAAATATATTGTTAAAATTCAATGATGCAACTATATTACTTCGAATCTTTATAGCGATTGAATTAAATGTTAATACAAGTTGATAACTAACATAATCTACTATATTTAATTGTTGGGTAAATAGTTGAATCATTCAATTCTACTTTCTGCACCACTTTGACCGTAACTGAGGTGCAAGGCTTGGATATACCGTATTTTTAATTAACCCATAAATGGATCTAAATTGTAATTAGTGATAACTTAAAATAGTAAAAAATGGAAATAAAGTAAAAGATGATGATATATAAATAGTAAAATTGATTATTTCAATATTTACTCAACAAATTAATTCTAGTGATAGGTTAGTTCAGGTGTAATCTTCTCTGTTTGTGATCAAATCTTTTGAGCAGTGTAATCCACAAGATACTTATTGTGTTTAAATAATGCAACATTACTTAAACACAAGTTTAATTTTAAAACGAAACCTTGTTAAAAGTATTTTGTTCAATTATTAAAACACACAAGTTTAATTTAATAAATTTAAAAAAGCTTTTGAAAAAACAAGATACACAATATGCACCCTGAATCAGTTTAAAAAATAAAGGACCACAATGTATAAGGTTTGAAATAAAATTTACTTAATTCTATGTTTTATATAAGCTATGATGTCTACAAAATATTCCATTTTAGACATGATCCATTTCATCAGAATGTTTCTCGTTTTGCCGATTAGCCCAAAAGATTTCTTTACCCCATTGGAGTGTTTACCCAATAGTAAGGATTCCATCTGACCAATGGGTAATTTTTTTTTTTATTTCTACAACCATTAAACATATTTTACTGAGTCATTTTTTAACAGATTCCATGCGTTACAGGTAATATTTTCCAGTATTTGTGTCCCGGCGTACTCTGTAAAGTTTAGCATTGACCAGGTAACATGGTTACCTTTAACGTGACGTTTTTGTAGCAAAAAAAAAAAAACATTTACCGAAACACTAAAATCAAAATCTTACGTATTATTGACCGACTTCCCACAAGATGGAGGTACTCAATTTGTCTGTATGTTTTTCTGTGTGTGCGATATATCCGGCACTGGTAGACCGATTTTAAAAATACTTATTATCCGAAAGGTAGTGCCTGCAGGTCCCATTTTTTGTCTAAACTAGTTCATTAGTTAGTAGTATTTATAGTTTTAAATTAGTTGGTCGTCACACTGGACACTATCGAATTTAGGGGTAAAGTGATATTTAGATGAAAATGCCAACACCTGATGTTGCTCGTGTGTAATGTGTGTAGTCGTGTGTAAGGGCAGCTTACCTGTGTGCCACATGACGTGGTTCATGAAGTGCTCCTTGCGCGTGAAGCTCTTCTTGCAGATGTCGCAGCGGTGCGGCGTCTCGCCCGTGTGCTTGCGCACGTGGTTCACCATGTGCTCCTTGCGAGTGAACGTCTTCGCGCAGAACTGACATCTAACAAAATTAAAATATTTTGGAATTTCTTTTGGCTAATAAATAACGTTTGTCACCTGTAATTAATTTCATTAAAATAGTAGTACAGGTATATAGTTACAAATTTACATATATCTATACTGATGTTATAAGAGGAAAGATTTGTATTTTTAGATTTTCTATGTATTGAAATAACTCAAAAACTGGGCCAATTTCAAAAATTATTTCACGATTAAATAGCTGTTATCAGTGAATAACATAGGCTATGTGTTGACCTTTTTTAGTTATTTAATTTCGCAAACAATAACTAGTAGAAAAATCTTTTGGTTATTTGTATCTGAGAAAAGTTACTTCGAATACATCTAGATCATCTGGGTAGATGTAAAAAGTTTTACTACAATAAATTATGTAAATAAAAATTTCGTGTATTGTCGATAACATTACCTGTAAGGCGTTTCTCCAGTGTGGCTTCGGACATGATTGTCCAAGTGCTCCTTACGTGAGAACGCTTTGTGGCAAGTTGTGCAGGCATATGGCTTGTCTTGAGTCAACCGTTTGGTTTGTCTCTCTGAGGGGTCTCCGGCTGCATGATTTTAAAATTATCAATTAATAGAAATACTTATAACATTATAAGTCAATTGTAAAAAAAAAGTAAATTACCAAGATGACATTTTCCGTGTCTGGAAAGTTCCATGGCATTAGCGAATGCGGTGCCACAAACTTGACATGTGTAAGGTTTGCTCTCGCCGTGGTATCGTCTGTAAAACAAAAGATTTCTTAGCTAGTAGTAAAAAATAAACATCATTGAAAGTTTTTGTTTTTACTCCATTCTTACATTATAATGAAAATATTTTAACTACATATGTGTATTTTTACTATTTTTCTAATATTGGTATACCTGTGTACAATAAGTTGGTAGCGGAACTGGAATATCTTCCCACAGATATCACAGGAGTGGTGTCCGGGCGAAGTATCAGATTCAGCAATGGCAGCACTTGTTCCCGCTTCATCCACTTCATTTATAGGCTGTAAGATAAATAAACTAATTAAAATCAATTGAGACAATGTAATATTCTTATTTATATAATTGTGGAGCAGTTGCATTGAATTATCTTAAGCATAACCTCTAAATATAAGCTAGCAATACATTTTTAACAGACGATTACTTAACATTACCCTGTATGCTCATTTGACTCCTTCTTGCCTAAATAATTTCACTAGATTCTTTACCTTGGGTTGTGGTTGCCCCTCGGGATTGAGTTTACCAAAAACTTCATGGTAAGCCAACAGATGAGAGAGGTCCTCAACATTAACTTTATACATTGCATGCAAGTCGTGTTCTGAAGCGCCCGCTGAAATTTTCACAACCGCTCCCTCCATACCCATTGTTCCCACATTCTGAAATACGATTGTTTTGTTACATTTTAGGAGAGATTTCTAAAAACAACATACAAGTTGTATTATAAATTAACAAAGATTAAAATTTGTACAGAATTTTCGATATTCAAATGCAGTAGAAAAACTGAATTAAATGAAATAATTTCAAGTATATAAGTCCAGTCCTAATCGTCGGATTGAAAGTTACCTTTAAGTCAAGCCCCTTGATGTCCTTAATATCTGTGGGTATTGCAAATTGTGAAGATTCAATTTTTGCAACATTTTTCTCATCTTTCACTATAAGCTGTTCAGATGCGCTGGTCTCTATAGATGTGGTCCCATCAGGGTTTTGTGTCACAAGTATATTAGCGGGTTCGCCTGTTGCTTGTTCTATACGAACAACGCTGTCTATCACCTGGTATCAAATATTCCAGGTGTTAATGCAATGTTTTTATTCTGGTAAACATATGTATGAAATTTTCATCATAAACTTACAATAATATACTCTGACCTTGTGAAATTATGAACAGAAAAAGAGAACTATATCTAACAAAATATTAATATAGGGAATTAGTAATGTAACACAATTAGAATAAGTGTAATTCAACAGTTATAGTATAATTGAAGAATTTTCTTGAAGGAGGCAAATGAGCAAGCCATACCCAACAAAATAATAAGATATCCACAACAATAAAAATTGCATGTTCTTTACCTATATTTATTTTAAAACAGAAGTGAGATATCTTCTGTATGATCCTGTTTATTATTATCATCAATTGCTGATATGGGCCACTTCGAGATTTAAACATTTAACTACTTGATTTATAACATATTATTTTATCAGCAAGTGACCTAAGCATTTTGATTATGTTCCATGCAACTTCAATTTTTCCATGAATATGTTGACAACTCAGATGAACATAATTCCTTCTTATACTTTAACATACATAAATGAAATAAGAACTGTACCTGATGATGTCCAACAATCTGTTGCAGCTGATGAACAGTCAGGGTATGATCTGTTGGCATCTTGATGGCGTCATGCATCTCCTCTTTGTCCACAACCTTGCCTCCGCCCGGTTCCACCACAGTCACAATGCCATCTTCACTCACCGTTAGCTGTATCTGTTGAGGTTTTTATCGTTTTTGTATCTAACTCAGGCTCAAGTCCCTTTGAGGACGCATATAAAGAACTTTTGTTTATCTATAAAAGGTAAACGTAATTTCCAAAACAGTTTGACGATTTTAATTATATCTTATGCGAGTCTTGTAATGACATCCAAATGTCTAAACTCATGTATTAAATAACAATTAGACTTCTATTTATTAAAGTATAAGATATTGCTTTTAGTATCTTAAATGGCATATCTTAAAGTTGATTAAGACAAGTTGTATATTTTTTAATGTCACAAATATAAAGTGTTACGATCAAAATCCCTTATTTGTAAGTTCTACGGATACTCACTTCACTAACCGGCTGGTTATCACAACAAAAGCAGCATAAAATGAACAAAAACATCTCAAACAAGTATTTATTTCACACAAACAGCAAGGAATGCTAGCCTTTAATAAGTCCGGACAAAAGTAGAGATATTTATTTAAAAATTATTTTATGGTTTGAGGATTATAAAAGGGATTAAATACGCATCAGTCCGCTGTACTAATATTTTAAATAAACAAGAAGCATAATCCTATCCTTTCCTTATTAGAAAAAGGTGGGAAGGGAATGGTAACTTGAATTAGGCTCTTCAGCATACAACATAATTATTATGTCAGACTGCCTAACATAACATAAAGGTCCTACCTGTTGATTTGTGTGGTCCCGATTGGTAGACATCAGCTGTTGTTGTTGCATTGAATGTTGTTGGGAATGATGACCCTGAACAACAAATTTATTGAAAAATACACTCATTAAAGTTTATTATAATTTTGTATTATGCATATACTGTAAATATAATAATCAAATAAATTTTCGTTAATTTTATAAAGTTAATTTAACATGCAAAGCCACATTTTCTTAGACTGAATAGAATAAACATTTAGAATAGGTGTATCAACACATAAAATATTCAAGTTGTATAAACTCATTTTGTCTAATTATATAAACTACGCAAGTGTTCACTCAAGGTCTTGTTTAGACATAACTTCAACTACTAACAATGCAAAATTAAAAGAAAAAATTATAATTTTTTCAAAGGTTGTAAGAATAAATTATTCATATTTTATAACACTGAATATAAAGAACATTTAGGTTTTCATGCATAACATTGTTTTATTACTTTTTTATTTTACTTTTTTCACATCCATAGACATGCATTTTATATTTCAGTAAATATTATGACTATAATCTACACATCGACACATTGTTAGCATTCCTGTAGTAAAGGGTATGGGTTACCACATAATTTACCATATCAGTGTTATGGTGTTGTATAAAGTCGACCCGGTTATTGGGTACCTGCTGGTGCGAGGGCTGACTCGTGCTAACCGAACCTTGGCTTGTGTTGCCAGGGTTCTGCTGGCTGTGATCTTGCTGCTGACCATGCGCCCCCAATGATTCTACAAGTTAAAAAACATTACAATGAGTTGTCTTTAAAAGATTGCTAATAGAACTGCCGTTGCACAAATCTTGTAGCTTATTTTAAGTATACTTATTGTAACATTTATACAAAAATAATTAAATACATAATAAATACACTATGTTTTTGTTTAATAATCACCATTTTTTTAATTACAAAATATCAGTGGAATAATAAATTGTTTAACCAGAATATTGACATTTCTATTAAATTTTCTAAATAACTTACAGTATGTGTAGTCAAAATAAATTTCAATGAAATTACCATGCGACTGTCCGGATTGCAACTGTGTTGCAATAATTTGAGTGACGGGTATTTGTTGACCACTTGGTCCTGATACCGATAGTGGTTGCCCTCCGTGCTGACCGAGTATAAGGTTAGGATCACCATTCAGAAGTCCTGTGTGGGCTTGGCCTAGTTCCTGTAACAATTGACATAAAACTAGAGTTAATAACATCAAACAACTTAAGAAAGAATAAAATTCTTGTCACTTAAATATTCATTTTTAGCACCAATTCAATTTTACAACAAAAAATCTTATTATAAACATTTCGCCAGGTTGAACTTTTATGGATTCACATCAAAAACTATGGAGTAAAATAATTTTTTATATCTTTCCATACATAGATAACAAACATGAAAAAACTCTTATTTAAATTTTGACCTCTGGTAACTTATTTACATTGATAATGAGTAATATCTATAATTACCTGCACAGGTTTTCCATTTTCAAGTCTTGCATTAGGTGGGAGTCCATACACGGAAACTTGAGGTATTGGCCCGGGAAAAAGATTTGTAAACACCCAATACTTAGCGACACTGGACAAAGCAACGTTAACAGCTGCCGAATTAACTCGTAGGTCGGTAGCAGAAGTAGTGGGAGGCAGATTATTGTTTGATTGTTGTTGCTGAGAAGATGAAACTCGTTGATTTTGAGACTGCAAATATTTATCATTTTAATAGTCATTAGAATAAAGAATAATAAAAATAACTTGAAAATTCTATATACCTCTGAGTTACCAGGAGGTTGGCCACCACCCGTATTGATACTGTGATGTTCTGTATTCATATTTAAGACTATTCTATTTTAATATATCTGCCCAACTTTAGGTTATTTACAAAAACATAACAACTTTAACATTTCTACGTCTCGGCATTGTCATATCTGACTGTCAACGAAATGGAGGCGCGGGGGACGCGACGGGCCGCCATTATAAAACTTAGCACACAATAACATTTTTTCAACTAATCATTTAGCACTTTATTTGTTACAGTAAAAATGCAAAAAGTAAGAAATACCTAAAGTAAACTAAAGAAAAGCACTAAAATCCACTATTTATCAATTTACACATAATAATTTTCAAGTTTTGTACAATATCATAAACACTTATTCACCATGGACGAAGCGAACGAAAGTTTTGTCACGATTCCAGAAGTGCCAACATCACAGGCCTTTGAATCAATAAAACAACTTTCATCATTTATTTATGACAATTTCTCATATAACTTGAATAAAACTATTAGTAACTTATCATATTTTAAAATAATGATTGTGTTATTTTTAAAACTTCGCATTTTTAATCAAAGAAAGTTTAATTTTATTAATTGGACAAAATTGTTGTAGGGTCAGTATCGACAACATAATAAAACAAAACGTTGCGTTATGTTCATGCTTGTAACAGCAATTAATCATAGATCAAATATTCCTATTTCAGTTTATTTTTTGTAAATATATTTCTTTTATAACGTAAATTGTAAAAATTCAAGGTAGTGTGTACACAAACGAATTAAATTTATGTATGGAAATTAATCGACTGATTACTAGTACTTAAATTTTATGTTAGATATAATGTTAATGCTTTCAATAACTGATTTTTTCTCTGATTTCGTTTACTACCCAACCAATATTTCTATTTTATTGCCCGAAATTCACTTTCACCTACATTTCATTCGTTCGCCACAGAATCTTATAATGTAATTATTAATTGTCACAACATGGTTAATTATTGGATATTGCAGTAGCAATATCCTTAAGCCTTAGTAGTAACTAAGGAAAATAACATTATTTATGTTACAGCTTTGAAATGTCTAATAAAAATAAAAATTATTGAATTATTCAATTTTTACTGCTGAGCTGACATCATGTCCGAAAACTTTTATTATTACGTATTTTGAGAAACATGTTATTGTCATGAACAACGAACGCGAAACAATTTGCTAATGATGTTATATTGTGAAGATGCAACATTAATTGAATTATAATCGATTTGAATGACATGAATATAATAATGTAGATTACCGTTGCGATTTGAACATTAACATGCAATTTCTTATTAAGAAAGAACCAACATATTGGTGCTTGATCAACTACTGTTTACTTTTTATCGCCGACTGCGTTCTGACTTAGCCTGTGAAAGGCGACATAAAATGTACTTCCACCCTTGATCCTTATAGATGCTTAATTACCACAAAAAAATCGTCTGATTTGCATGCAACCGAAAGAAAATAGGGTTCTTAGGGTGTACACAGTTGCGCTGACATTCCTAGCTCTTTTATAAGTTCAAACTTTCAACTGTTTTTTTATAGAATCTATAAGTAAGCGCATAAATGACAAACATACACACAATATGACTTTTGTTTAATACATAGTATAAAGAAAATATTTAGTTTATTATATTAAAAGGGATCACCTTACCGTAGCACTTGTCGTAGACAATCTACGAATCGTTAATATGCTACGGTAACTAATCATAGTAACCGTAGCATTCATATACTAGTATAACATTGACGGAAATGATTCCCTAAAGTGGGTTACAAAAAACGCATGAACGGATATATTGATAGGGAGGTAACTGATGGTCTTCTTTTATGTATTTTAATTCGTAGTTATTAGTCATTTTTATAAAGCGGGAGATAATGTGGTATATATGAGGGTATCTTAATATAATGCATCGTCCGATTACATATAACAAATCAGTTCAGTACCAACGGCCGTTTCGTTAACACCCCTACATTACAATTATGTTAAAAGTGCTTTCCCTCATATAACGATATCTCTCCTTGCAGCTGTTTTTGAGTTACTATTTTTGATAAGAGAAGGATAACTAAATCCCTAATCTATTTAATAACAATTAATGTTCTACGTAACCTCGTAGCAGTCTACCCTAATATATATAGAGGGGTTCAGTCAACTGGCTTCGCAGAAAACTATGTGCGGGTTACATCACCATATTTATCTTCACCGAACGAACGTCGATAAATGTACATACGAAATGGACCATAGACATTGGTACATAGTGAGAATAGAACCCGGATATGTAGAAAACAAGTCAGTTGCTTAACAACCACTGCGCCTCAGACGCTTCTAAAGTGTTTTGCTAAAACTGAAGGTGTGTAATAAATGTATTTTTAAATGTATTAGGGCCTGTCCTACCACTGGCTGATAGAGGCTCACATAGCGTAAAAATGACGTCACTGTCAGATAAGGGAACAAAAACCCGATATATTCATCACAATCAGACAATTTACAATTTTGTGGGACAGGCGCTAAATATTATAGTAATAGTTAATTTTAACTTTTATCGAATATCACACTTAGGAGCAAAGTTAGAAAGTCTGGTAGAGGTCTTGTCCTGCGTCTTTTAATACCTAGGTCATATATTATTTACCTATTTAAATAATTACTTTGGGAAATATTGGCATCCTGTAGTAGGAGGATAATACGAGTCATCCATGACATGCGGACCTCGTTCGCTGAATAATATCGTAGTGCAACTTAGAACGGATTTCGCTTCTAACAGTTTGCTTTCGCGGCCTCAGTAATGAATACGAGGCTGTACGGACCGCGCGTGTTTCGTTACTCTAATCGCGTACTTATTCACGATAGCCCGTAAAAACTTTTTTCTTAAACCGTAACAATCAAAATTAAAAACATAGTGAAAGTGAAAAAGAAATCGAAAAGTTATTACCTGCCTGTTATGGTCTATGTTTTTTTTTTTAAATAACGATTATTCTAATTTCACGTTGACATTTTGTTTTTGAACATTGCGAGAGATCGTTTTACGGGTGTTCATCTATTCGCAGGTTAGTATGTTTACTTACTTGGACGTTGATTGTTTATGATTTTTTAAGATTGGTGCAGTGGCTGTTTGATCTTCCCATTTTCGTGTGAATTTGTACCAGTGTTTTAGTGTTAATTTATACCAGTGTGTAATTTTTTTTAAAATTCCATAATTACCAAATAATTGTCTTCTAATCTAATTTGTTCTTACTGTAATTTTGAGAACGTTATAGTGTGACAATGAAAGTTACTTTAAATTGATAAGTGGCCATTACTTTATTTATATTTATTTAAAATCTATTTTAATATCTTTGCGGTTGAGTCTCACCTGTTGCACGTCGACCTAACTTCTTTTTAACTCGATTTAAATGATGTGTAGTTCAAATACCAACATAAAAACAAGTGAGACAATACAATAACAACGATATTGTCTGCCTTAACATTCTGAGCTGTTACTATTTTTTTGATGCCATTATTAAAAAAGAAAATCGATATTGCTTGTGATCATCGTAATCTTCGTTACATCAATTTAAATACAGAAAAACCATATATAATTAGGTTAGTTTTTAAATTATTTTCATAGTATTTATTCTCTGCCTTGGCCTTAGAGGTACATGCGTAAGTGTTATGTAATATCAACTATTTTATTTGTTTGTTTTTTTCAAAACCGATATGTGAATTCTTACTTTTTGATATTTAAGTAAAAGTTATAAAAAAATTTAAAAACATATTTAATTTGTAAGAAAAACAAACACTTGAGATGGGTCTTGTTATTCAGGTAAAGAATAAAGAAATTAGAAAATAATATAAATCAGCCATTGTTGACAGCTATGTTATACTTGATCGTTTATATTTATTATTAAACTATTATTTTATATGTAGAATTAAAATTAACACAACTATTAAAAATAAATTATGAGATTACCGTTTTTCATCATTTCTTTCTAGTTGCGGACGTTTTTGTTGCATTGAAAAACTAGTTTATCTACACTAATATTATAAAGAGAAAAAATTGTCTTTTTGTATGTATTGAAATAATTTAAAAACTACTGAACCGATTTCAAAAATTATTTCAACATTAAACAGCTATATTATCAGTGAGTAACATAGGCTGTATTTTTTTTAATACACGCGGTCGAAGTCGCGAGCAACAGCTAGTATTTAAAAATGTAAGTGTTGTCTATTTATTAAAAAATGTAACTCACATTAGCATTTCATAAAATTATTTACGATGATACTCTTATACACGAGACAGTCATGTACCGATACGTATCCTATAAGATTGACATGATTTTTTCTGCAATCTAATATTTAGTTTAGATATACTAGATAGCAACAAACATAGTATTTGCCGTAGTGTTTAGCGTTTGAAGTGATAAAATAAGTAGGCAACTTAACCAAAAAAATTCCAATACGCAATAAAAGGTAAAAAAAGTTCGGAAAACAATTAAGTAACATTAGTAGTTTGTTTGGTCTGTTTCATAGAACATGCAATTATATAATCGAAAGCATGAAACTCGCTACAATAGGCCCGAAGAGCGGCCATAAACATACCGGCCCACTGTTTACAAATTGTAGCATTACTGGCAATTTCACGATTGTTCGATACGAACTGATTGTTACTAATTATTCAGAATTTTTCTTTGTTACGTTTAACTGTTATCGCATCTCTTGCTGTTTCTTAAAAAATTAAATGAATTTACTTTGTGTAATATGATTTAACCGCTAATCTGTTGGATAAAATACATCTACGAATTACAATGCGATAATGTCATGAAATGCGAATGATAGGTTACTTATATTTGTTACTATCTTTTGCCCGCGACTCCGTTCGCATGGAATTAAAAAAAAAAAAACAAAAACGAGTAGCCTGTGTTCTTCCAGACTATCCTCTACGTCTATGCCGAATTTCGTTCATATCTGTTCAGCCGTTTAGGCTACAAACTCTAACTAACATACATCCACCTAAACTTTCCCTTTTTTTATATTATAAGTTTAAACGTAGCGTTTAATTGTGCGCATCGTGTCTCTTTATTCTACAATATTAAAATGACGAAATTGTGTTTTCTATGGTATGCAATATTAGGTACATAAAATTCACCGTAACAGTTAATCCTTTAGCACTTGGTTAGGTTATTGCTATTTACCACACGTTAATAAACAGCAGTTTCTTCAAAATGTAAGCTTAAACCAACGAGGCATTGTGTACGTTTATCACACTCCTACATTTACTAGACTCGAATATTACACAATAATACCTGTATTTGCGATTTACGACGACTTGTATTCAGTCTTTTTAAAGAGGTGTCAAACTTTGCAGCTATTACATTAACCATAATATTTATAAAGCCAGCTA